TGTCATTAGCTCAGCAGTAATTAGCTGTTAATGAGGGAGGGGAGGGGGCGGAGCCTCTAATGAGATTTTTATATCATCTGCTTTTGTTCAGTTTAATTAACAGTTCAATTTATTCCTTTCTGTAAATCAATAAACAAGTGTGTGTGTGTGTGTGTGTGTGTGTGTGTGTGCAGGTGAAGTGTTGTAAGTACTGGCCTGACGACACAGAGATCTACGGCGACATGAAGGTGACGTTGATCGAGACTCAGCTGCTTTCAGAGTACGTGATCCGAACCTTCGCTGTGGAGAAGGTGAGACACAGACACACACTGTAACACACTTTAGTACACTTTAACACACACTGTAACACACACTCTGACACACACACACACACTGTTGCACTCCTCTGTCTCCTGGACGATTAATGATGTCATCATTCAGCTCAGTGTAATGTGACAGGATGTGGCGCCCCCTGCTGCTGAGGTCTGTGAAACATCTCTCTCTCTCTCTCAGAGGGGGGTGGCAGAGATCAGGGAGATCCGTCAGTTTCATTTCACCGGTTGGCCCGATCACGGTGTACCGCTTCACGCCACTGGCCTGCTGGGCTTCATCCGACGTGTCAAGGCCAAAACTCCGCCCACTGCTGGCCCCACTGTGGTTCACTGCAGGTACGCACACTTTAACGTCTGACGCATATTGATAGCTGCTTCGAATACACATCCTTATGTGTGTGTGTGTGTGTGTGTGTGTGTGTGTGTGTGTGTGTGTCAGTGCGGGGGCGGGGCGGACAGGTTGTTTCATAGTGATTGACATCATGCTGGACATGGCCGAGAGAGAGGGTGTGGTCGACATTTACAACTGTGTCAGAGAACTGAGAGCCCGAAGAGTCAACATGGTGCAGACGGAGGTAACACACACATACACACAAACAAATGTACACACAACCTGTCAATCAAACCAACAGCAGGGAGGGGTGTGCGGAGCATCTCATGAACACAGTGCCCCCTGTCTGTCCTCAGGAGCAGTACGTCTTCATACATGACGCCATCTTGGAGGCGTGTCTCTGCGGCGACACAGCAATTCCAGCCAATCAGCTGCGGTCGGTTTATTACGAGATGAACCGACTGGATCCTCAGACAAACTCCAGTCAGATCAAAGAGGAGTTCAGGGTAATTGATTATTGATCAAAGTATTGATTATAAACTGTTAGCTCACTGTTCTACTGATGATTAACATGACCTGTGTGTGTGTGTGTGTGTGTGTGTGTGTGTGTGCTCAGACTCTGAACATGGTGACACCGACACTGCGGGTGGAGGACTGCAGCATCGCTCTGTTGCCTAGAAACCACGAAAAGAACCGCTGCATGGACGTGTTGCCTCCGGACCGCTGCCTGCCGTTCCTCATCACCATCGACGGAGAGAGCTCCAACTACATCAACGCTGCTCTGATGGACGTATGTAACGCACCTGTCACACGGTGGAGGCAATATGTCTTCAGGTCCTCCGTCTCATCCTTGTGAACCCGACATCTCAGAAAGACCTCGAGGGAATTTGATCAGATTTGGCACCAAGGTTCCGTTGGAATCAAACATGAACTGATTAGATTTCAGAGGTCAAAGTTCACAATGAAAATATATGTATGGCGACTGCTGTGATGTAAACAACCATGAGGCGGTGATTGTAGTTTGTTATCATGACAGTTCCCATGATGCTTTGGTCATGAAGCCTTCACCCATACAAAGATGATGCCAGTCAGGACTTTTATTTTGAAAAACATCATGGGAACTAGAGCTGTGTGTGTGTGTGTGTGTGTGTGTGTGTGTGTGTGTGT